ATTAAGAATTGAAATTATTAATTAAATGAGGATAATATGGTAAATTCACATTTTTTCATATTTAAAAAAATTAAAATTAAAAGAAAAATCAGATAATGGCCTATTTTTATGGAACACAACTACCTATTATCTTTTTTAATTTTAAAATAAATTTTAATTTTTTTAAAAAAAGCCTCTCGCAGGCGCAGAAGCGCTTGTGGAGAGGCTAGTAGTAATAAGTGAACAAATTGACCTAAGAGCGGCCATTAATTTTGTTATAATCATGGAGTTTTTTTTTTCATAAAAAACTAAAATTAATAAAAAGCGAAATTGGCTACAATAGCCACTGTACAAAACTTCTATTCCAAAATGGGGAAGTGGCAATTATTGAATAAATGTTTTGAAAAGTGGCTATTTTAGCATAAATCCCTAATAAAAACCATACAAGGTTATAAGTAGCGAGAATCAAGAATTAGTGAAACTATATGTCATTGTTAGAAGTATGCTCTAGAGCCAATCATGAGATGTAAACTTTAAGGATATTTCACTTTATTAATTAAGGGCATTATGTTGTTTTCAGTAATGATCTTAGTCATTTACTTAACCAACAAGTACATGGATCGTGAGACTTATAAAGTGACTTAAAGAAGTTAAGTTCATGAGAACTTTCTGTACCATGTTCACATCCTAAATAGTTCGTGGTCATAGGATAATCAACTAGGCTTTGATAATTCACAAAGACCATCATGCATTATATCTGCTCAATCAGAAGGATGACTAGTCTCGAGTCATTCGTGTGGAGACACTAAGATAAGTGTATGAGTGTTCAATAGAGAATGAATTCAATAAACACGATCAACAGAGAGAACTTGAATGGAAGTTTTACTTAATTACATGTCAATCAAGATCTCTTAGTTGGAATAGTGCAAATTAGTGCTTGACCTGAGGCACCACAAGTTGTCTCATGGAAGAGTCATGGGCCCTTAGCCAGGTTGAAGCGTTGTGTTCCTCTCGGCATAACTCAAAAATAATATGACTAGGGTTCATGATCAATTCATGGAGACATGTGAGTGTACAACAAAGGATCTCTACCTTCAGTAAAGGAGGAGAATGCTCAGAAGATGTGACTCGGAAGTCTTTGGCTAAAGCAACGAGCTAGATCAACAATTGAGATTGTTATCATGCACTAATGAATCACATGAGACTATAGATCACATTAAGGGATTGACATGAATTCCATGCCCCAATAGCATGATCAAGAGCATTGATTAAGAGAAGGATCGTACTGCACGGTAATTTCAACTAAATAGGTTCACAACCCCATTCTATTTTGGCTTGGGCAACCGTGACATGTTGCTAGATCTCACTCACGGTTTGTGAAAGCCCTGAAAATAAAATATAACCTAGTTCTCATAAAGAGAGAATTAAAAGGAAGTTTTAATTCACAATTGACCAATAAAGAGTTTTGGATCGCCCACTAGCTTGTCAATTAGAACCTAATGGATGGCACACCGATAAGGTTAGATGAAATGAAATAAATATAATGTGCATAGACTTATTAATTTAATAGAGACTGAATTAATTAAGAGACTGCGGAAAAAGGGTATTTTGGGCCTAAACTATGAAATTGGGTTCAAGGGCCTTTGGGCTTGGACCCAATGGGCTAATTGAGTTATATGGGCATAGTAGGATGACCACTTGAGCCCAACAAGCCCAAATATACCCCATGGCCGGTTTTACCTAGAGGGAGACTTAGGTCTCCTTATGGTTCTATATAATGTGAACTTTGTCTCTTGAGAAAAGTTAAGGTTTTTGAGCTAGTTTCAACAAAGAAGTTAGAACACCATCAAGCTCCTCCCACCTAGCCAAAAATCGGCCACCCTAGGAAGTGAGTAGTGGCGGATCCAGGATTGTTACATCATGAGGTCATAGTGTAAAAATTCTGAATTTTTTTTAAAAGGAAAATAACACTAAAAAAATAGAAATCAGTTTGATATAAATTAGTTGGACTAACACTGAGTAAGAGTCTTACATCTGTATTGATTCGCTAAGTCGTTTTGGGTAGCCACTTAATTTTTGAAGAGTCATGGGCCCTTAGCCAGGTTGAAGCGTTGTGTTCCTCTGGGCATAACTCAAAAATAATATGACTAGGGTTCATGATCAATTCATGGAGACATGTGAGTGTACAACAAAGGATCTCTACCTTCAGTAAAGGAGGAGAATGCTCAGAAGATGTGACTCGGAAGTCTTTGGCTAAAGCAACGAGCTAGATCAACAATTGAGATTGTTATCATGCACTAATGAATCACATGAGACTATAGATCACATTAAGGGATTGACATGAATTCCATGCCCCAATAGCATGATCAAGAGCATTGATTAAGAGAAGGATCGTACTGCACGGTAGTTTCAACTAAATAGGTTCACAACCCCATTCTATTTTGGCTTGGGCAACCGTGACATGTTGCTAGATGTCACTCACGGTTTGTGAAAGCCCTGAAAACAAAATATAACCTAGTTCTCATAAAGACATAATTAAAAGGAAGTTTTAATTCACAATTGACCAATAAAGAGTTTTGGATCACCCACTAGCTTGTCAATTAGAACCTAATGGATGGCACACCGATAAGGTTAGATGAAATGAAATAAATATAATTTACATAGACTTATTAATTTAATAGAGACTGAATTAATTAAGAGAATGGTTATGGTTACAGGTTTCTAGACATATATATATATATAAGAAATTAGAGCAACAACAAGATGAAGAGCTTGTAGAGAAATTTTGTTCTGACAATCAAGAGATGTTTCGCAGAGAGAATCTATAAATGGCAGTTAATATTGTGTGAGTTTCAAAAAGAGAGAGATAATAAATAGGGAGGGAAACAGGGTACAAAAGGACAACACAGACAGAGTCCACGCTTGAGAAGAGTCTCAAGTCAAAAAATAAATAGCCCAATGAACCTCCAGAGAAATTGATGATGGTTAATGTATTTTATATATATATATATATAATTTTGGATTGATTTTACGATTATATCCCTGAATTTAACAGTTTTTTTAACAAAATGACTATTTAAGAGCACCCATATTAACGTTAGGGACCATGAGTGATACAAAAAAACTTTAAGGATGCAATCTGATAGTTTTGCAAACGTCAGGGACGTTTTGTGATAAAAAACCTTTTTTTTTAAACCAAAAAAAAACAAAAAAACCTTGTAGCAGCACAAGTTCCTTCACATAGTTACCTGCAATGTGGAAAGAGAAAATATATAAATATATGAATGTAGACAGAAAAAGCATATGAGGTTTTAAAAATACACTATTTGTACTAAAAAAAATACACAACATTAACTATCTCAACCTAGAAACTAGTTAGTTTTAAAAAAGTTAATATAATATAATTTTTTAGTTTAATGTTATAATTACTTTCAAATACCCGTTTCTTATTTCTAGCAATTGCCTCTTTGGAAAACATCAATCTTTATGATATTGAAAGACCCAATGTATTTACATGGAGAAATATGTAGATTCCACATAAGTGGATTCACATATATGAAAACCATCTATCTGATAAGCAAGTGAAAGATACCCACTTCCTGGAGAACCAGACGCTTTTTCTCTTGCCCTTTCTCTTCTGTTACTTCTAGTGGTTGGTACCACCGTTCACAGTGGCGGCACCAATGCCGGATTTTGTTTTTTCTGCTAGATCTAGTGGATCTAGAAAATATGGAGTGTGTATTGGTGAGAAAGGAGCTCGTACCCATGAGATGTGTGATGTTGGAGGTAGCGATGGTGAGGATTCTTCTCTTCCTGTGCCTCCTTTGCTCATGAGTTTTAAAGACAAGGTTGCTGGTGTCTCTGGCATGGCTGAAGATAATCTAGTTATTGGTGATGGTGATTGTGTGGTTATGAATGAGG